AAAATGTGATGACACTATATTCCGGGATATCATCCGTTCGCTCGTTGAACTCCGACTGGAATCCTGCAAATCTTGCATCCGACTGGAATCCTGCAGACGTTTCGCCAAAATCTCACTTGGCATCTTCAATGCTCGCGCTCCGAAAACACTTCGAACACTCACAGTGTTCGAAGTGTTTTCGGAGCGCGAGCATTGAAGATGCCAAGTGAGATTTTGGCGAAACGTCTGCAGGATTCCAGTCGGATGCAAGATTTGCAGGATTCCAGTCGGATGCAGGATTCCAGTCGGAGTTCAACGAGCGAACGGATGATATCCCGGAATATAGTGTCATCATATATATATATATATATATATATATATATATATATATATATATATATATATATATATATATATATATATATATATATATATATATATATATATATATATATATATATATATATATATATATATATATGGTGTATTGCTAATTGAGTGAATTTGAACAAGGTAGGCCTAATAATTTGGCATTTGGCATTTGGCATAATTTAATTTTGTTTCGTCAAGAACGGTGCATCTGACAAGGAAACGCAGGAGTAAAATTTATAACCGAAATGATTAGACTGCAGAATGCATTTCCAAATTCAACAAGAATGTTTGGAATTGTTTTTAACATTTTAACACTCGGTATCTGGACATTTAAAATGTTTAGAGTTTGTTTAAAAAAACATTCATTGTTCAAGAATTTTCGGACCAAGTTTTCAAGGGCCACCATACAATTATTCAAAGCACCAGTTAAAAAAGTGCCAATGGGAAGAATTATGGCCACATTATTAGGGAAGACACCGCCCATAGCGGCAATATTAAAGAGCTCAATTACAAGCGATTGCATAATAATTAAAATCCATTCTATCGCTGGTTCTAAGATTTCCACGAATTTTTTTCTGTTTGTGTAAGATGGTATGTTGTTTCAAAGCTTGTATAAAAGCATCGACGAACCTAATCTGACTTAGATATTCGCTTAAATTATCGAGTCGATACACCTTGTGCGCAGTTAATGTGCAATTAACATTGTAATTTAGTTTACAAACTGGACCGTTATATCATATCGGCATATCGAATCAGTCACAACACGGGAAACCAATCAACTGGCACTGTTCTTATTAATCTGCACCTGGACATGAGCGGGGTTTAACGTCAAACAAAGCGGCGAGATTATCCGACACGTTGTAACTAGTGTCTGCAACAACAACACAAAATTATGTTCGGATTTGTATTCGATTACTTAGTAGTTGGATTACTCGCGGTTCGTGGGAAGCCGCAAACTGGATAATAGATCATCGGTAATTAATTTCCATCAATGGCAGACAAAGTGAAATGGCAGACTAATCCGCTTAATCCGTCATATTTACCTGCTATTGTTCGAGTTACCTCAAACCGGTCTAGGAAATAATAATAATTGCAACAATAATTATTATTTTACGTTATTATTTTACGTCAAGAGAAAAGCTAACGGCAGTCATAAAATTATATTATCAAAAAATTACTTGGTGCGGAAGGGCAAAACCAAAACATCAAGACAAAAAAGTAACATTAGCTATCGATAAATATCCATTAATTTTTGGAAATAATAAAAATTTAGACCCATCCCATCTTCAAGAAAACTAAAAAAAACAAAAACGTTGACTTTTGAATTTGAATATTTTTTTTAGCTCACATTAGGTGGGATAGCACTTTTTTTCCATTGTATACCCAAAGTCTCCACCCAAAATTCAGCTCTATCCGAATTTGATTACTATTTAGATTAGATAGATAGAATTATGAATCAAAAATCTTTACTCTCATAAGAAACACAGTCAAGTTAGTACGTCGATATTTCAAAATTTTTAATTTTTTCAAAAAATACTGTTAAGAGATACAGAATACAAATTCTTCAAATCTTAATTGCAATCGATACGTTACGTTCTGCTGTTTCCTTCCGAAAAGACCATTCACTCGCTGTAATTCGCACTGTATATCCATACCAAACAGATAGAAAGGTCACATCCTACTTTTCCTTATATTTACACTTTTGTAAAATTTCGTAAGAGATTTGTGAGTTGGCACTTTTTTTACCCGATTTCGTAAAAATATTCTTAATTTTTAACGAAATTCAGACATTTTTTGCAAGATGACAAAAACTTATGAAACTTGCACTATCAAAACTCAAAATTCACATTTTTCTTAACAAGAATTGGAAAAGAAAATCCCTAAATAATATTGGAGATTGAAAAAGGAGAACAATTTTTATATATTTGCTTTTAATTAACTTGTGACATATTTTTACCGATGATAAGACCTTAGGGTGTAGAAAATTCGTATTTCAGAAATAAAAACGAAAATACTTGCTGAACGACACTTTTGCTGGCACATATTCTGCTATATTTTCAACGTGCTTCTATAAAATAAATTTCGAACGATGGTAATCATTCGGGCTATGATGATTTTGACAATTGGATGGTCGTATTCCCGAAACAAGCCCTAAGGTTGGCAAGCCAACAAATCCTTCTTCGTCCAGGGGCTCTTTTCGTGCCAAATACATTGTAGCAGCTCGTACATGTCTTTGTTTTTCATTATGTGATCCCGGTATTCAAGTTGACGACTTTTAACAATGGTGATGCGTTCTGGAGTTGTGTTTTATCTATGGTATATTGAAGGTTCCTCTATTTAACATTAGTTTACAAGCTTGGAATTTCGATATGCATTCTTTTTTCAGGATCTATCTTTCTATGCTGAGTACACATAGCATATGGGAAGTCCATCTTCGAGAAGGCACTTTTAACACTTCCAATTCGACACCGAATCTCCTGAGAATTATCCTACGATTCATTTACCATAGTTCCCAAGTAACTAGCTCGATTATCGTCTAATTTATGTATAGATTTGCTCTCCTGATGTTTTCTTTTCTAACGATCGTGTGCTTAGTTTTACTAGTGTTAATGTCAAATCCTTTTCCTTTATTCCATTTATCGAGATACCTTCATCTATGTCTCATAGTGCCTCTCCAAAAATGTGCTTCGAGTGCAGATTGAATATAATAATTCAAGTTTTTCTCAGTACATCTATTGTTTATTCATATCTAACGCGACCAAACGCTTTTTGATAATCAATTAAGCATTATTTGGCTAAAAATATTTTTTTGCAATTCCAATTTATAGATGCCTACCAAAATACACAATGAAACATTTAATAAGTATAAAAAGTGCAACATGTGTGGATTGCGATATCCTAAATATTCTGCGCAGCTATTGGCAAGATGTCAACGGAAATTAGAACATCAGTTCCGAGCCTCCTAATCGCAAATTAGTATCTTTTAAATAACAAAAGTTTGACGGCGTTTTCCAGACAATGCACCTACACTCCGGCCACCATCAGAAGTTGGAAAGCAGTTTCAATTAAACTTTTCTTATCGGAAATGAAATCTGAGCGTTACATTGTCTAGCGTTGTTATTCCCTCAGGTCTAGGATTTCCAATGGCAATTAACTAGGGTCGAAAGCTTTGAAACGTGAGTTCCATAAATCATATTAGCGATAATGATGACAGTTATACGGCCGAATATGCATTTGAATAAACTTATTATTAAAGGACTAGGACTGTAAATTTGAATCTCACTGTGCTGTTTTCACAGTTTGGTTAGTGTATTCATTTTCTTTCATTTTTTTGCACCCGGAAGAATTACCAATAAATTCTCACGAAATAGGGTACTCTGTTTAGGAAAACAGATTTGTCCTATAGCTTGTCGGAGGAAGTTTTTTGTGCAGCGTTCAAATTATTATGGCATCCGAAACCATAACGCACCGAATAAGCGCAGTCTCACGCTTTGCAGAAAATTTAAGCTGGCGCCTTTTTCCATGTCTTCAACCGCACTCTTTTACGACCACCGTGTGCCTACAAAACTCGTCATTGAAATCGACCTGATTACATTCAATGAGCATGTCAAATATAACTGTTTATCTGTGAAAGGCAATATCAAACTAGAACAATTTGACCGTAACCCATAAGTAAGAATTCTTTGATAAATCGATCTCATGGAGATCTGTTGGTTTTAGCTAACCTTCATCTTACCAGCCTCGTTATCACTGCTTTTTTCTACATTTTTCTAAATATCTATACGTCTATGACGTATATGGCGAAGATGTCCAGACCACTCTGTCCAACTCTAATCACCCTTGCACTATTCCAATCCTGTTTCCAAATTCTCATGGGCTTACTATCCTATCTCGTTTAAATTTAATTGAAGACGAAGGGAAAGTTGTCTAACAGTGTTGACTAACTAGTGTTTTCAACAGTAAAATTGAATATCTTTAAGCGAGTTAAAGAAACGGTATTAATCTAAATCCTTTAAAGTCATTAATTTTTTTGGTTCAAGAGCTGCTATAAAATGTGTGTGTAAAATTGGTTAAAATATTCTAAAAAATATTTCGAATATCAAAGGGTTAGGACTTACATCCGAAGCCTTCACTTTTCTAATCATATTGAATGTGCTATTAATAAAGCATTACAGATTCCTGGTTCATTAGAAAAAGTACCAAGGACTTCACAAGTGTAAATGCATTAAAAGGATTGTGTTCTTTTCTTGTGTGTCCTTATCTCGAATACGCCTCTTGCGCCTGGTCTCCCTTTCATCTTGTGCATCCCATCCCTTTCATCTCTTCAGTTGCTGTTGCTCTTGGAATTCTTATATACAATTAACCAGAACAACTGGCGGAGCTCATGGTTTTCAAATATCCAATTCGCCGTACAAATGATGACATTAGTAGTTTAATATTTAGGGCTGCTATTTCACTGATTATTTTTCAGCTTTCCACATTGTAACTTGGGCCGGTTGATAAATAAATAATATAAAATTTTTTAAAAAGTGTGGTAAATGAAATAGGATAATAATATTAGGGTTTACTACAATATTAAAGGTTTGTCGAATTTGCTTCGCACATATAATGACTGTTGTATCCATAAATCGTTTTTAATTTTTTTGCAGCTCCTGATGACTACAATATCCTGGATTCGGTAAAAATTCCACTTCAAGATGCCAAGACGCAATACGTAGACGAAAGCGACGACGGATTCCCTGCTTTCGGATTTCGAGTAGGATCCGACATTAAAATAGCGCACAGGCAAATACTCCCGGAAAAGCTGAGCAGCGAATTCTCCATTTCCATCAACGCTAAACCGAAATCTAAACGGGGTGGGTTCATCTTTGCCGTCGTCAATCCGTACGATACGGTCGTCGAATTGGGTGAGTGTATTATGCATAGTTTGTGCTCACCGTTTGTTCACACGATGCAACGTAAATATTTAAATTAATCAACTACACTTTCGATCAACGGCAACTTGCTGCGTTAGCGGATAGACTAAACTATCCGAGACTTACATCTGATGCTTCAAATTTACCATATTTGCTTGGGCTGTATTCGAATAGAATAGAATCGTTATAGAATTACACTATGATATAAAATAACCTATAAATAACATGCTAAGTGTATATGACCAAAGAGGTGTTCACTAAAAAGAATAATTTTATGGCATTCATAATATCTTCTTAATAATAAATAACATTGATGCGTCGCTTTATCGAAAAAACCTATCAATTTAGTAAATACAGCGAAAATTATTTTATTTATATTTTTATATAATAATTCCGAAATTACTGACTATTCATCTCTGCCCCTTGTTTCTGAACCAGCAATAAAACAAATTTAGTACTAGATATTTCAGAAATTCCAAAATAAAGTAATTCATAAGTTACATTAGTTGTCAGCATTCCGAAAGACTCATTTGTTTTTTAACTGCATTAAAACTTAAATGTTATATATATATTGTTAATTTAAATTTTTGAAATAAAATAAGAAAAGATGAAATAAATCAAATTAAATAGTTCTACAGCTCACAAATAAATAAGAAATAAAATATTTACTCTTTATTCCAAAATGGAACAAGTTCCAAACATTCGATTTATTTACTTCCTTATCTTGCACTAGTTCACGGCTATACTAATGCAGTATATTTGCACACTATGGAACCGAATACATTTTTAAATCTTTCTATGCTCCCTTTTTTCTGTCTGTCTGAACTGTTTTACCGCGATAATTTTCTGTATTTCTCTGATTGAGTCGAACCCTGATTCTTATTTCTGAGAATGTTTCCATTTTCAGATAAAAAATAAGGAATGTTTTGCATATTTGAAACTTTTAATTAAATATTTAAGGTTTTTAATTTGAACATTTTTAGTATTTTGATATGATTTTATCGATGGATTTTCACCTGGTTTTCTTTCCAAATGACTGAAATTTGGAATATATCCAAAATTGGTACTTCGCCTTTCTATTTTACGACGACGTAGACATTTTCAAGCGACAAAAGGACCCTCCGCGCGAAACGGAAATGAAACGGTGTTATTCCACGCAGAAGGATTAAGATTTTGTGTCGGAAGTGTTTCTTTCCCTTCACCTTATTTAGTCACTCGAATTCTTTGAAACGTATAAGATGACAATTTAAAACCTCCGCTATAACACATTTCATACGTTGTTTTGGGCAAAAATGTTGGAGAAATTATTTACAGGTTGCACATAACGACAAATATTAGCAAATTAACAATATGTATAAGCTATTTTCTCATCCATTTAGTACAATACGATAGCATACTGCTAACAAAACTTTAGGAGGCATTAGACCAGACAAACCTAAGCGTCAACATAATAAGATCAGTGAAAGAACTATATAGAAACTGTCACATTAAAGTCAAGGTCGGCCAAAAAATATCCAATGGATTTACATCCAACAAGGGACTCAAACAAGGGTGTTCTGTATCCCCCACCTTGTTCAAGATATATCTTGAACAAGCGTTAAGGATAACAATGCAAACATATACACCCTAAGCTTTGCAGATGACCAAGTCATAATGGCCCAAGATTACGATCGAAGAATACAAGAAATGGGGGTTGGAAGTAAACTTACCATCGGTGGAGCACAACGCGACCTCCTCTTAGAGGATAGTCAGGCTATCAAAAGCTGCGAAACCTACAAATACCTGAGAATGTACATATCCAGCAGTGGGACGTTAGACTACGCCATCAAAGAACGAAATACGAAATAATCAATGCAGAAAGGCCATTACTATGCTGAACACCTTCTTGTGGGACCAAAAAATTACGAGACGAAACAAACACCTAATATACTATACGATCATTAAAAGCATAGTCGCATACAGCAGTGAATTCTGGCCACTAAAAGAAAGAACCATGAGAACGCTGGAGGCAGCAGAGATGGACTTTTGGAGAAGAGCGGCAGGAAGGTCAAGAACTGAAAGAGTTCCAAACGAAGCAATTCGCACAACCATGAAGGTGGGCCACACGATTTCAGACGAAATAAGAACAAAACAGTTAAAGTGGTACGGTCACGTCCAGAGAATGGAACAACAGCGACTGGCTAAACAAATACTCACCTGGACACCTACAGGAAGAAGGAAGAGGGGAAGACCGAAAAAGAGCTGGAGAGAGGGCATCGATAGTGAAATACAATGGAGAGGACTGGAAGGACAGAAATAGATGGAGATTGGGATTCGGACGACGTTGGAGGACGTTTTAAAAACCGATACATATATATAGTACAATTTGTTTTTTGCTATTTATTTGTTTTTTTTTTGGTTAACAGTCCACAGTGACAGAATAATCTTAAAAACCCTCTGTTCTATTTGTTCGTAAGTATTCTTATCTGAAGAACCTTGCACTTACTGTTGTGCTTTAAAATGTTTTTAAAAGTACCATCCAAGTCTAGACTAAAATGTGTTTGTTTTGTCTTGCAGGTGTTAGGATAGCTCCAGAGAATGGCTCCACTACGGTCATATCTTTATTGTACACCGACCCTACCGAAGCTGTCTCACACAGCATCGCGAATTTCACCGTGCCTAGATTCTACGGCAGATGGACCAGGTTCGCCTTCAGGGTAACTACAGAAAATGTAACTCTTTTCTTCAACTGTAGCGAAACAGACACCGTAGTGTTACAAAGGAAACCTTTAGAGTTGGTTTTCGATTCGGCGTCCACTTTGTATGTGGCACAGGCCGGGCCTAATATTCAGGAGTCCTTCGAGGTAAGTAAAGTTTTCCTAAATTTTCGCAATATCGAAGAATTCCTTCAAGAGTGGCACCAAGTCTCCCAAATTCTCGAAAAATGTTTAGTAGGCAACATTTTGGAGGGACAAAATAAAACTACCACAGTGCTGAGAAGCAGAGAGTTCTATGTAGTTTTCTCCATAGTGTAGAAACGGCCGTGAAAGGAAAGGAACGGAAAACGGACATCATCAAAATTTCAGTTAGCAAAAATTGTTACGTCACCAAAAACCCATCGAGTTTAGTTTTTGACTTTTAAAAAATGTAAAATCCACGCGATGGCCAACAAAGAACCTCACGATGAATAAAGATGCGTTTTTGGTCCAAATAGATCCGCAGTTCTCGAAAATCGGAAATTTAAATTGTAAAATTTCGTTTTGCCGCGGGATAAAAATATTCCCTTGAAAATTGAATTATGGGGGGGAAATGCTTAACTGATATCCATGCGCGGTGGTTTTGACACGTTTCATAAAAATTTGCCCAGATCCGAATTATTTTTCCTGTTTTCCTATGCTCTGCCTTCGTTGTCGCCTGAATTGATAAAAAAATTATCACGAATTATTGCGAATTGTATGGAACGGGCTAAAGTCCAGAAGTAAGAAACTAAAATGTTATTTCATTCTTATTTCGTTTGGATTTTAATATTTCTGCATTTACTTTAACTTTAACTACAAAATTTAACTTGTGGGAAGATCACTCTAAAATATATCTCATAGGCGAAACGTTATTTCTTCATACAGATCTCCACACAAATAACTCGTATTTTCCTGTAAAATTTTATGAAATCTGGACACATGTTGACGAAATACTGCAGACAAAATGCCATATCCAAATTGAAATTTAAAATTTGCGCTTATCGGTGGAAAATGAGTTTTTCAATTACTTGCACATGTGCACATTTAATGTATCTTCACATTTATCATGTTGGCATGAAAAATCCCTTTATTATCAATATTATTTATTATACTATATCTAGCAGATGGACCGGGAGACATTTACAGAGAGCGAAAAAAATTTTCTTTTTGCAACATATATGATACTAATAAAAATTTTAATTAGCTTAGCTTAACTTAGCTGCTATTTAAACTCACACAAGGCTGAGAGGTTGCAGTTGGCGAACTGCATTTGTTTTATCTATATCAATTTATTATATACTATACGTTTAAAACCTTAACACACAAAAAATGATCAAAAATTCATGTTTTAAAATCGATATATTAGTTAAAATTCTAAATGGTAATTAAATATCCCTGAAGTTTATCTTGAATGGTGATATTCGTAAGTAGTATCAGTGCTTGGATATGTACTGGAACTGTTGAACATATTGTGACAGTTCGTTGTATCACAAAATGTTTGTTTATATCGAACCAGCAATCAGCTTTCTTTCGTGGTCCACACCATATTTCCGAAGCGTCTTCAGAACTTTGCGATTTACAAGATATGATATTGACATCGGCAAAAGGAGTGCGATTGGCTACGAAATCTCTGTATGCATATTAGAAAGAGCAAGGACCCCAAATGAACACCCAGTACGGCTACAGCAAACAGCAATTCTCCTCAGTCAGGTTGGAGTATTGAAAATAACGGGACTTATTTGATATCCGTTTCATTATGGCAAATTTCGAATACAGATAAAGTTACGACAAAACCGGAACGGGTTTCAGCCTAACTACGCAATAAAAGGGCATTTGTAAACTTCTACTGGTCAAAACTCGGAACAACGGGACGCAGAGATAAATGGTCTGCTTTGAACTCCCGATAAAAATGTTCCGGTTCGGGAAATTCGGGAAAACGATCCCGAGATATGCAGATTTTTTTTTCAATTCGTTCGGCTTACGAATAACGTATTATTGGGAAAGCTTGTGTTTCTCGAGGACGAGGCATTCTGTCTCTATGTACAAGGTGCCCAAAATTCGCGGTTAACACACCTTTAAGTCTGGAATAGAGTTTTAACCGCGCTTCGGAATAATTGAATAGATGACAATTGTGCTTGTATGAAAATTATAGGCAACGGGTTGTTAAAAATGCTTGTGTGGACATTGACTACATTTGAGTTATATCTCAACGATTCAGTTGGTGTGTTTCTCCAACCATTATTAAAAGAATAATAACAAATCTGAAAAATTACGAGGTTATATCTAGTCCTGGTTGTAACAGGTGTCACCGCTGGTCACTGATTTGTGAAGAAATTTTGCGTGCATCAGGCGTGCTTGCTCTCCTGATTGAGTACTGCATCCATGAACTGTTTTTTGTAAAAACATTGCATTTGGAGTTGATTTTCTCTGTACAGTGTTCCTATGTTCCTTAATGGGAGTTTCCGCATAACGTTGTCCGCATTGACATGGCTTTCATATAAGCTGTCTACTTACTGGTCATGTTTTTGATCTATGTAAACTTTAGTTGATAACATTTCGTAGTTTTGCAAAATCTTCATTATCTTTTCAGTAAGAAATCAATCACAAATCTTTTGATTATTCGGAAATCTGACTGTTGTTTTAATATTGTTAATGTGTGCCAAGAAATAATTTAATTCTTTTTCGTCATAGTTTCGACGTACCTCGGGTAGGTTTTGAGTTTTGAACGACTTGAAACAACTGGTGTCCACTGGTGTGAAATACAAGTGCGGTAAACGGCATTTGACTCACGAGTTTATTTGACACGAGCGGAGCGGGTGTTTAATAAATGAGTGACTTAAAAAGTTTACTCAAAAAAAAAAACGACTACATTCACTGACCCGTGCGGTAAAATCCCGGAAATGTCCGAAGTGGCTCGGATCGGTGCGAAATAAAATTCACGTGGTATAGTGACGCTTCCCGCACGCTAGATCGGTGTGTAATTAGGTATTTTACAGACGGGAGTAGAAAAACGTATTTACTTGCAAATTTTAATTGTGGATACAAAATTCAAGTGGATCCATGATACTCTGAATCATAAGTCCAGCCTGAAAGAGACCATTTCTTATTCTTCTTATAACTTCAATAACTCCATTATATTCGGAGAATACACCGATAGATTCGTGTTTCGAAAGCTTCGGATTGTTTACAACTCTGAGAGACATTTTTGATAAGTAGTTTTTTCATCTTTTTAAATGTAGTTCAAGCATTTTCTATTCTCCAAACCACTGTTCTTGGCGAACCCCAGTTAGACTTCACAGTGGTACTATAATATGGTCCATGTGTTGAAAGTTTACTATTAAATTTATTGTTTGAGGCTGAAAGTTTGTTGATACGAGACGGAAGTTAATTTTTCGAAGCTTATAGGGACTAATATTATTTTTCTACTTCCTCATCTATTATGTAGGTGTTTAACATATGGAAAGGGTCACTTTAAGACGTCAGCGTCGTCAATCACTGTCGTCAACCAGTTTGGACGTTTCCGGTCCATTTTAATCATTGATGATATTTTCTCGTTTGTTCCTCAAACCTGGATCCAAAAACTTATGGTTGTGGAAAAATTATACTATGTTAATAAACTTCTTCAGTCACTCGTTTCTTAAACACTCCTTAGGCGGAGCCCCTCTCGTGTGACAACAATGTGGTGAGTAAAGTGGTGTTTGTTATATATGTTGTATAATAGATTATTTTAGAAACATACACCCATTTAACTGGAACACGTAACAAAGCACACGTTTAATTATTTTGCTCTACATACGTAGTTGTGTCACCTAAATACCTTGACGTTATCTCCGGCGTATTTTGCGTAGCGCTCCCGCATACGTCACAGTCTTGTTTTCGCAGAGCCTAGCAACGGAAAAACTTGTCCTGAACAAAGACCCCTTGTACACCACGAAATGTAATTCCATAAATATCCCCCTTTCGATAAAACGAGAGCCGAGAGATATTTCGCCAACTTTCCGGTAAACTGGTTAATTAAATTGTAATTAAGAGCGGGCGTTTTGAATAATAAGCTCGGAAGGCTTTCTACAAGCCGATAACGAGAGACGCGATGCGACGGTTTAATTCGAGGGTCCACCGCGAGGCGTTTAATCGTTTGTGTAAAATAAAACGCATTAGCTATCAACGAAATGATAATACACTCATGTACAGGGTGGCCCGTTTAAGAGGGGCCTATACCTTATCTCGAAACCTACGGGGATTACAAAAAAAAATTAAATGCAAAAGTTGTTTCTATTAAAATGACCTTTGTTTTTTTTTTTAATTTCCTAATCGTCACTTTTTTATATACAGGGTGGTAAAACAAAGTTAATTTTTTAAAAATAGAACACCCTACATTTTATTGCATTTTGGATAGTCCTTTTAAAGACAAATTCGACGATATATATGAGTATGGGTCTGTGATGCACCGTTTCGAATTTATTAGCGATCATCTTCAGAATTCAGGTTATGTTTAAACCATCATTGTTGGGTTGCTTATTATCTTTTTAAACTGTTGTCCATCTATTATTTTTACGAAAATGATGACTGATTCCCATATTGGTGACAGCTAGAGACCTGAGTCCCAGTTAAGATTGTTAGGTTGTTTATAGATTTCTATAGACTCTCGGATTTTTCGTTGGTAGAAGAATTGATTACATGCAAGAATTTTACTTTTATCGAATACAATTTTATGTCTGGTTTCGTGATTGTGTTCGGCAACAGCTGATAAGTTTATTTGTCTTAGTCGTAAGGCTCTTTCGCGTTCTTCAAATGGAATTTTGTTTTTGACGGATCGAAGATGTTGAGAGATTTTTGGACAAGTGGTAAATCTGGTTTAGATGTTATGCTTCTGGAATGGCATTCGTATTCTCTCGCGAACTCATTGCTCTACTCCAAAACTGTTGACGGTTTATCTTTGTAAACCATATCTTTCTATCGATGTCAAATCTGTACTCCTCGCTGACCAGGAGATGGTTCCGTTTTTTTTAATCCACTATCTGAAATTTTCGTCTAAAAAACAAATTATTGCAGCACTTCGATTATTATGTATAAGTGATCGAATTCCGTTCCTTAATAAGTTTAAATATCGTACGGATGTTAAATTT